CAAGAAATTTAATGAGCTTCCATAATTTTCTACATCCATGACCATGGACTTAATATCATCTGATGACTTTCATTTGAACCCTGAGGTAGGAGATACACCAATCTTAACCATCCACTCCTTTAATGAACTTTGACTTTCTTCTGATGATAACAAGCACTTGATAGATTAAATACAACCTCTTGCTTAGGCTTGGCAACTAGATAACCTCGTCCTGCTAGGCACACCTCTCTTAATCCTCTGCAAATGGAAAATGGTATGCAAATGCTAATGCTATATGAATGCAATGAAACAAAAGCCAATTAAAGAAAAAGGTTGGGCAATTTTTGGGGTGAAACAATAGCGTTCAAAACGGAATTGATGAGGACCACTTTACCTCCAAAGGACAGGTTTCTACCCCTCCAAGTCGACAACCTAAAATTCTAGAACACATGATCCCACTTCTTCTTCCTAGGGTTGTCCCTTACATATACGCCTAGGAATTCGAAAGGAATTGAACTGATACTACAGTGAAGGAATGAAGATGAAACGTCTAAAAAATATGACTTCAAATTAATACCTCAAATGCTACTTTTGCAAAAATTAACCCTAAGACTCGACAACAACTCGAATCTTCTAAGCAGCGCTTTGTTGTCATCGTGCCAGTGTCAGATCGTGTTTGAGATGTCTGTGTTTTATATAACTTATAACTTATAATTGTGTTTTCTTGAATGTTTTGAAAATAGATAGTGTGTTGGTTCAAGTCATGGCACTGCCATTCAAAACATAACAGAAGAATAAAAATAACGGCTAGCCAAAAATTGATAAATCTTATAAGAAAATACGCAAGCCAAAAAGATAAAAACTTTTATTTCAACCTTAACCAAAAAAATATTGATGATAAAATTTTAAAACATTCTCATTTTAATGATGTCTTAAACACACAATGATTCTCTTGGAATTTCTAATTTTCTACCTTTTGGTGACCATATCATTATGAGCTTATACTAATGTATATTTATGCAAATATAGCTTATGAAATTCATGTGCGAGGTCCATTAGGAGTTGATGAATTGTTTATAATGAGATGATATGAGTAAATGCTCATTGTAATACTTTAGAAAGAACAAATAAACCTTCTATTAACCTTATAAAAAGGATCATGAGTTTTACATGAACTATTCATTTGTTTATTCTCGGTCCTTTATATAAATCACAACTTCATGTCCGGAGAATTCGTGCCCCGCATTAGAATTTGCATTCTTGTCACACCCTAATTTTTAATCCTAAGATTCCACCCCCTCTTGCATCATCTTGCATCATTTTAAGTCAATCATCCATACATGACTAACCCATTATATAGCTTTGTTTTGTTTGATTTTGTTCATCTGGGAATTAGGGTCCATTCCAAGAAAGTTAAGGGGGTTGACCAGTCAAATTTTGGAGAGATATTCAATCAATCAAGTTCTAATATTCTCAATATATCTCCCTACATCAAGATTCAAAGCCAAATGGCCTTACATCAAATGCCTCAAAGATTCAATGGCACCTAATCAAGAACTAGGGTTTTTCAACCAAGGTTGACTACACCTTTGACTTTTTTGATCAAGGCGTGATTTCAAGCCAAGGATTCATATACTCCAAGACATCTCAACAAGATCATGTGTAGTTGATCAAGCTACTAGTGGATCTAAGGCTACAGTTTTTTTTACTGGATACATCTTGTAGTTGATTCTTGAGGCAAGCCTTGTTCATTTGAATCATTATTTCATTAAAAGGTTCTTGTAGGTCTCATGGCTCATTAGAAAGTCTCTCATAGATTCATTTGGGTAGAGGAATGATCAAGATTTTCATCTGGTCAAAGAAACGTCAAATGTGGTCCTGAAGAGGTTGAAAGCTTGACTTTTGGTCATTTAGGTCATGAGAGGCCATTTCAAGTCATTATAAGTGCTAAGGTGAGGTTTAATCAAGAAGAATCAGAAGAATCAAGGAGGGTCATAAAATCGGGATGTTGCTAAATTAGGGTTTTAGAAGTTTCTAAGTGAAAAATCCCCTATTTTATCACCTAAATTCCATGGCAAGTTTCATCGTGATACAAGCTTCATCTCATTTTTTCATAAACATGAAAGTTGTATAACTTTTTATAAGCTTTATTTTGATGTAAAGAACTCCTCCATTGGGTTTACACAGCTCAAGCTATGATGTCTTCAAGTTGGTGTCTCAAAGTTGAAAGGACTTAAAATCATTCAAAGGTAACCAACTTCTAAGACAAATTTCACTTGGATCCAAGCTTTTCCTCAAAATACTTTCAACATAAGAGTTGTTATTCATCCTTTAAGCTTTCCAAAAAGTGCAAGAACTTACCATTTCCATATGTAGAAGTCAAGTTATGATCTTTCTAAGTCAAGGTCATTTTTGGATGACCTAGTTTTGGTCATTCACTTCAAGGCCAAAATTCATGAACTTCTAAGCTTCAATTCATATTACCTACAACATGAAAGTTGTGCCTGATGGTCCTGCCTTTGTCATGATATCAAATTTCATTTAGTTGGTGTTTTATTATGCAAGTTAGGGCAAGATGAATAACGATACATGATTTTATGACCTAAGTTGGTTTTCTTGCTTTTCAAGTCACAATTTGGATTGTCTTTGTTTCTATCTTGTACCATTTCATCATCACCACATGACACCAATATTACCTAAAATGAGCAAGCATACATTCCCATTTTAAACATGTTTTCAAACTTTTACACCATAATATGGAAATCACCAAACCATCCCACAAATCCATTTCCTTCCTTTCTAATCATCCAAATTTATTTTCTCACCCTCATTTGCACTCAATGTTGACCCAAAGTGGTGTGCCAACCATCCCAAATTTGTGTACACTCTCTTCTAAGATTTTCTTCCAAGTTTAAAAAATAAGCCATTCACACATCATGGGCTTCAGAAAACATTCATATATAAAGAAAACAAAACCCTAAATTAGAATAGGAGGTCATTCTACAGAGAAAGAGATCAAAATCACCTCAAAAGCTCTTAATTTCTCTCTCTTCGAATTTTCTTTTTTCTTGAAGATTCTGCTTCCCTTTTTCTTGACTCTTCATCACTGAGACACAAGAAGACCATTGGAAGGATTTGTTTGAAGTTACTGCACAGTTTTGAGGGCAAACGAAGCCTTTCAGTTGAGTAACTTTCTTCAACTCTTTTCTTTTATATTAGACATGGATTAGGTTCATGATTGGTTGCATCTGAAGCCATACAATGTGAAGGAAATGTTTGAATGACTGTTGTTTTTGTTTGTTTAATTTTTAAATTGTGACTCAAAATTTTTTGTGCTGATTTCATGATGTTAGATATACCTTTTTTAAAATCTACACTACGCCAAAATTGATATTTTGTATCACATAATTTAATAGAGCTTTTAAAGAAAGTGATATTAAAAATGAATCAAACATATCTATAATAGCACTTTATGGTCGGGCGCTATTACAGGGTGTAGACAATGTGATTTTGATAGCACTTTATTAGAAAACGCTATTATTAAACTTCACTAACATAGCGCTTTCTTTAAAAACGCTATTAAAACACTATTATAGAGTGTAAACAATGTGATTTTGATAGCACTTTATTAAAAAACGCTATTATTAAACTTCACTAACATAGCGCTTTCTTTAAAACGCTATTAATATTCTTTATTAAAATAGCACTTTTTGAAAAACGCTATTAATTTACTATAAAAAAACACTTCTCTATTCATCAGATCCTTCAAACCTTTTCTAAACAAAAATACTCACATCATTGTTCCTTCGATTCACTCACATCGTTGCTGCCGCCCCACACTTTTTCCTCTCTCTATCCAATTTTCTCTCATCTCTCTATCAACCCTTCAATACCCTACACCGTTGCTGCCGCCCCTCTCCCCACCCTCGTCCTTCGTTTCTCCACTGGTTGGAATTTCGACGACAAACCACCGTCCAAAACCACCTCGAATCTGCAACCACTTTGATGAAGGACCTCCCTCCGTCCGTGAAACCACTATGTCTTCCTCCGCTAAATCCGCCACCATTGAAATCGCCGTTGAAAGAGGGATATCGTGAGAGGTTTTTTTTTGGAAGATGGAGGACTTTTGTTCTTCTGGGTTTTTCACCTGTGATGAGAGAATGTCTCAAGCTTCTGGGAAGCAGGTTTGTGCCTTATCTCGATTTTTTGTCAAGAAACTAATAATGGAGTTGTAGATGCAGCTGGACGCCCCAGTTCAGGATGCATTGGTGATGATTGTGGGATGGAGCTTAGGTTCCACTCTCTGAATTCGTGACCCTCGAAAATGGATTGAAGATGGTAAAGGCGAGCTGGAGAATCCACGGTTTGATTTTGCTGAGGGTTAAAGCTGTTCACGGACCTGGTTTAGAAGGATTTCTTTGATTAAATTCTTTCCTTCTTAATTCACCCTAGGGATTGTGTTAGTTATCACTTAGGAAATAAAAAGGAATCCTTGACATCGATTATGATGATTTTGCTTTGAAAACCATGATTTCTTGTTATCTTCAGACGAGGTTTATTACTTTTTAGCGGCATGACCCTTGTTTGATGCTATAACAGGAAGTTTAGGGTCTGATGCATGACCTTGGGGCTTCTTTGGAGGATACATCTCCTGGTTTGGTCGCAGGATGACGAAGAAGTGTTCGCTTGCGTACATTAGGTTTTGTTTCTTATACACGGTTTAATTGTTGTTCTTGTGTCAATAGATTGTTAACATTAGGCCTTGACTTGTTTTAGACAGGTTTTCTTGATGTTGGTTCTTGGCCAGGTGATGGCAACGAGATGGTCTTGAGACTCTTCTTTTCTATTGAGCTCCTGCGTAGTTTCCTTTTAGGCCAGTTCTTGCTATTTATAACGACGGCGCGTAATAATTTGGTACTGTTGTCTTTGATATTATTGCAGGGTGTCAATAGTGGGAATGTCGAAAATCATTCTTTCAAAGAGGCAACTTTCACTTAGAACTTCTCCAGGAGGATAACTTGATGCTGTCTTCACAATCTTCCAATCAATTTTCACCACAGCAGCAACTTATGCCTCAGGCACAACAGGATTTAGTTAATCCACTTCTCTGTGATTTTGTTGGCAATAACCAGCTGGGAGATATGTTTTCAAGCCTCACTAAACTCAAACAATTGTAAGTCTAACCATACTTTTCGCAACGATTTAATATCATGATATGTATTTCGCTATGCTCATTTTCGTATTTGGTTGGCTAAAGGAGAAGCTATTATTAATAACATGGTTCTAGAAATATACAATTTGAATAATTTCTTAATATGGCATGGAACCAGTTAGCTAAACTTGTTGTTTTCTTAATTGGGAGATGACTCGATTCTATTTTGAGGTTCTTGTTTTAGAGAAACATATTTTTTTGGTATGTATATATTTTAAATTAAATCCACTGTTATACAAAACTTGCGGATTTCTTTCCATCTCCTCTTGAAAACGTAAGGCGAGGTTGTCTACAAATGATCTACAATAGGTTCAATGCATCCTTGAACCCCGCTATGATGGGAGGTATAGCACCAGGCTATGTTGATGCAGAAAAGCTTCTATATCCATAGTGCAATGCATGCTATATTTCATATTTTCATATATAACTTCTGCCACTTTTATTATATATAATATATACATCACATGTAATGGTGTGCTTATTTGTGTTTAGGTATGTACTTAGAACATCAGTTATAAGTTGTTCTCCTTCTTATCTGATTTCTTAGTATGTGATTATTAGGTTCCTTCATACATTAAATTTCTTTTGACCGTTAATCTGAAATACAATATAGGGATGTATCATACAATTCACTATCAGGAGACCTTCCTCAGAGTTTAAAATCAGCTAATAGCCTAAAGAAGATGTAAGAAATGAATCACTATTACTGTTAAGGAACGCACACACCCAAGTTGACAACTGCAATGTTAATTTCTATTTCTTTTTGTACAGACATCTGCAAAATAATAAACTCACTGGTTCAATAAATGTCCTTGCCCGCCTTCCACTTGATGATGTGTAAGTTCGTCTTTACCCACCTTAGAATGATTTTCCATCCCTTCCACCCCCTCCTTTATATATATATATATATATATATATATATATATATATATATATATATATATATATATATATATATATATATATATATATATATATATATATATATATATATATATATATATATATATATATATATATATATATATATATATATATATATATATATATATATATATATATATATATATATATATATATATATATATATATATATATATATATATATATATATATATATATATATATATATATATATATATATATATATATATATATATATATATATATATATATATATATATATATATATATATATATATATATATATATATATATATATATATATATATATATATATATATATATATATATATATATATATATATATATATATATATATATATATATATATATATATATATATATATATATATATATATATATATATATATATATATACACACAATTGGTTATTCATCAAATCCCAAAGTTTGTTCAATTATAATTTACTTTGATATAGACAGATTCTTTAACATAGTGAATTGAAATTTTTTATCCATGGATGTCAACATAAAAATTGAATTACTACTGTGATTTTTAACAGGAATGTTGAGAACAACAAATTTATAGGTTGGGTTCCTGAGTTGTTAAAGGATATAAATAGCCTAAGGTAAGTACTTTGGTATAATTATTTATTGAAGGATGCCTACTTGGGTTGTTTCTCTAATTTTATATTTTTAATTACAAAGAACTGGAGGAAACTCTTGGTCAAGTGGGCCAGCACCACCTCCTCCCCCCGGTACACCTCCTATCGAGCGTTCCGAGAAAAAGGCTGGAAAATCTATTGTAACTGGAGTTGCTATAGCCGGCATAGTTTTTGGTGTGTTGATTGTAATCATACTCATTATTGCTCTTTGTAAAAGAAGAAGGTCATTTGTACCTTCTTCACATTTTATTGATGAAGATAGACGTAGCCAACACAAATCTTTTACACCCATTGCATCTCAGGAGTTGACTAAAGGTTTAGGTTATGATGACAGCACAAAATACAAAGGTGGGTTTTTCCTTTCACAGATTTCATTATTCTCTATTTTATTCATAACTACATGTGTTGAAGTTTTGCTATATGTATAACAAGGAATATGATTCTCCCGTAGGATTCTAAAATTTTCAAGTTGAAGCTGCGAAAAAAGAAATTTTAAAATCTTGATATTTATAATGAAATAAAAATGTAGTGTAAAAGGGGAGTCTTGGTCCAATTACTATAATCTGATTCTTTGCAGCAGCTGCGCCATGCAGCCAATGCAGGGCCATCACATATGAGTTTATAACTTCTCTCTCTCGGGTCAAATGGCTCTACAATGGGCTACAGAGTGTCGCTGCAACAAAGGATCAATCTGTGCACAGTGGTTGTTGTGTGACTAGACGTCATGAGTTTGAGTTGTAGAATTAACATCTTGCAAATGTAACGTGAAGACACTTGACTAGATCCACAATGGATTCAACCCTTCTTTAGACACCAGTGTAGTGGGGGAGCTTTATAACACATGTTTCCATATTACAACAGGAGACTAGAGTGTTAAATGAACATCACGAGGACTACCTACTAGAGTAGTCTTATGGTATTATCTTTGGCACATTTTGACAATGGCCAATATGGAGTTGATATTATCATATAACTGAATTCAGATGTTATATTCGTGATAGGATTCAAAGCAATGGATTCCACTGCAATCGTCATAAAGGCATTACAAAAATGTCTATCAACTGTTAGGTTATCACTCTCTAATTGTGTGCAAACTTTTACTGACAATGAGTTTGCAAATTGTCTAAATTCTAAAAGAAGCACATCAGTTCGTTGTACTCCTTTTTCATTGGGAGAGTTGCAAATTGGTACTACTAACTTTGCTTCCGGCCGACTTCTTGGTGAAGGAAACCTTGGACCTGTTTATCGTGCCAAATATGCCGATGGAAAGGTACTTTCTGTTATATAAACTAGTCATGGATACACTACTGTTAGTTTATGCATGTGCATAACATATTCATATGATTGGCTAAGCATCACCGATGAGCAAAATGTGTTTCCAGTGAAAATGCAACGACAAATTTGACACCCATGTTCATGTCTGACTTACAGCCGCAAGTAGCTAAACTAAAATTTAACTCTTATTAGGTCAGGCATGGATTTGGAACAATATTGGCTGCGACTTAATTAAAAAACTAAATGTCATAATACTGAATTGAGGCAAACCTAAACCTTACACTTGTTTTTCTTCTTTCAAATCAGGTATTGGCAGTAAAAAAAATCAACCCTTCATTTTTTGATGGGGGTCATCCCGAGGAATTCTCTCAGATTTTATCAAGCATCAGCAAACTTCGTCATCCAAATATTGCTGAGCTTGTTGGTTATTGTTCAGAACAGAAGCATATGTTAGTATATGATTATTTCAGAAATGGTTCTCTCCATGACTTTTTACACTTACCAGATGACTTCAACAAACCATTAACTTGGAACACCAGAATCAGAATTACATTGGGAACTGCTCGGGCTATTGAGTTAGTTTTCTACATCTAGCAAATATAACTTTAATTTTGAGATAACTCTTATGACATTATGCATAACCTATTCCTGCATGTGAATACGCATCTATTTTGTTAATGTAAGTACCACAACAGCGATCCGTTTAAAGCAGTGTTACATGCAGCATTCTTCCTAAATAATGCTACATTTCTCTTTAGGGTATTTTGCAATAAAATTGTTACTATGCCTCTTTTGCATAATAAAATCAAGTTTTTAAATTTATGAATAGATATGCATAAAATTGAACGTTAAGAATGATATAGAAAAATATTTATACCAATTCAAACACTCAACAAAATTTTGAATTTCTTAAGTCATTGTTTCCCAAGTCGAGTTCAATATTATATGATGATGTTAGACTCATTTCAATTTTGCATATATGTCGTTACTTCCAGGTACCTACATGAAAGTTGTTCTCCCTCTCTAGTTCACAAGAATATCAAATCTGCCAATATTTTGCTTGACACAGAGTTGAATCCCCGTCTCTCAGACTATGGTTTGGCATCCTTCCACCAGGTTTTTCTTGTTTTTGTCTCTCAGACTATGGAATTCTGTCATGTTCTTTTAACTCTCTTATAGTATGTTTCATTATTTTTATTTCCTCTTAAATTCCTGTAGTTTGTTTATTGAGTATTAAAGAAAAATAGATTTATAGTTTATAGAAAGTTAATCTAATTGATGTGAATATAAGTATTTTTTGTATTCATTCAATGTTTGCTAGTTTTCTTGTGGAAATAGTAATAGTAATATCTGTATTGTTTCCACTCAGCGTACTAGCCAAAATCTCGGGGTAGGATATAATGCACCAGAATGCACAAAGCCATCAGCCTAAAGGTGAAAAAAAGCGCTATTAAAAATAATTTTTGGCGTAGTGCTAAGGCCAAATTCTTGTTCCTCATGAAATTTCCTTCAATAATATGTCTTGGGTTTTGATTTTTATGAGGTTTTACAGTCAACTTTGGCGTATCTAGCCGTAGAAGACGACCGGAGCTAGAGCTCCGACGTCTGAGTTGTGAATCTGAGGTGGCGTGTGAGGTGGCCTTTGACCTTGCACGCGTGTGCGTTGAAAAGTGATGTGGCATAGCACATCCTTTAATGAAACGCAACGTTTCATTTTTTTAGGGTGCTGGGTTGTTTGGACAATTGCCTTCTCTTTTTTTTTGCTCTTTGCACAACCTTCTTTTGGCCCAATAGCGTGTCAAATTGATTTCCTTCATATTCTTTTTTGCTTAATGCACCCCTTCCTTGTTTTTTTCTTTTTTATTCTATTTTTTCTTTCCATTTTATATTTTGATTTATATTTAATAGTTCCAAACACTTAAAAATTCCACAAAAATATTTTCTAAATACTTTGATGTGTTATTAAATTTTCCAATATCTTTATTTTTATTTTTAATATTTTATTTGGATTTAATTTTATGATATGTTTATTTGACCTAGTCTTGAATTAATGCTTTGATTCATATCCTTTCTAATTGAGTCTTGATCCAATCTTTTGTGCATTCTTAGGCATATGTAGGTAGGGAATTTAAATGTTCATTTGATGTCTTGATCATGTATTTTAGTTCTTGTTTGAAATACTTCTTGATGCCTAACTTGTTTGATCAATGAATGATATGTTCGCCCAATGTTTGAGATGTTTTGAGTATCTTTTATACCCATTCTTAGACACCATTTTGGATTATATTGACCTACTGCCTCCTTGATATCATGATCATTTTTCCTTGTTTTTAAGCACTCATAACAATTTTTCATGTGTGATGCATTACATGCCTAATTGTTTGGATATGCTTGAACTTTGTGGATTGGTTAGGGGTGCACTTATGCAACCAATTAGGGTTTATTCTCCCCTCTTATCCTTGATTTAATTACCATAATATAGAGCCTTTGTTTGAGTTTAATTAGGTCATTATTCCATCTTTATTGATGCCTAATTGTAGTTTGCCTCTGTTGATTGAACATGTTTGATACTAACCTAGTTTCCAATCATTTTGATCACTTGTGTTTGATTGAGGTTTGGAATGTTTAGTTGATGTGATACCATGCTTCCTTTACTTGATTGTGGCTTTAATTTCATTATCATTTTTTCCTTTTCCTATTTTTTGTTGAATTCCTAAGATGATGATGTTTTGAGCCTACTCCTTTGGTGTTTCTTGACCTAGTTTTCTAAGGTGCTTTTTTGTATGACCTTAATGAATGCTTATGGATTCTTATGTGATTTGAAATTCTATATTGAGAGCTTTGTTTTCATGATTGTGTTGTTCATTGTATGATATCTTCTCTTTGTTTTCTTTACATGATCATCTTTGTTCTTGTTATGGGTGACTTGAATGGTGTTTGCCTAAATTTTTTGAGCATGGTGTTTGTGGAAATTGTGTGATGCTTTGGAATTGAATATGAATTGAATTAATTATGTTTGATTCTGTCCTTGATGTTATGATATGTCCTACTTGATCATTTGTGCTTTGTGCCTTGCTTGAATATTTCCTTTTCCTTAAGGATGACCATGATGTATGCTTGCTTAACCTTGATGCATGTTTTGGATTGGATCCTTGTTTTTTCTCTTTTGTATTCATGATTTGATACTTAGTTAACGTTTATGATTATGTTTCTTCCTAACTTGGTTTCAAACTTTCATTCTACATGGCTAATCTTTTGAAGTGTGTTTTGTATGAGTTATATGTAGGCAATTGTTTGAGTGTTGGTGTGATGCATGTCTTGAGGGTCTTTGCTCCTATTTTAATCTTTCATATGAGTTGAAAATAATGTGATATAGCTACTGATTTCTTTATCCTCATTTCATCTTTGTCCATTTTTTTATGAGGCTTTGACATTTGATGTCTGTTTAGGGTTCTTTACCCTTATGTGCTTTGCATTCTTGGTTTTCATCTGTACTTGACATGATGTATATTTGATCCATGATACCTTGCTCTATAATTTTATTGGATGTTATATTACTTGTCTCACATGTTGATATTCATTATTTATTTTTGTCTTTGACATTTGATGTCCATCCTCTATATTCCTCTGATATTGTGATTGCCTCTGTTGTGAGTCCAAGGGAAGGACTTTTGGTTGACTATATTATCATATAAATTGCATCTCTTTTGCATTTCCATTTTCTTCTTCTTAATTCTTTTCTTGATCCACGTCTCCCCTTTGGGTTGAGTACCTTAGGATGTATACCCTTAAATTATTCCCCTTAGACTGACACACTTAGTCTGTATCCTTAGGCTAGTTCCTCTTAGGATTGCTTCAACTTTAGATAACCTACAATTAGATTTCCTTCTTCTCCCATGAGAGAATTAGACATGATTCATCCTTATTTGAGACGTAATTCTCTTATCCCATGACATAGTTGAGAAAGATGTTGATTTATTTTCCACTTGAGAGAGATATGTGGCATACTCGTTGATTCTATATCCGAGTTGGAGCCCTTCTCTTAATGTGAAGCAAAGATCCATCTTCCACATGCTTGTGGTGGTTTAAGTTGAGTATTATCCTTTAGATGAAAACTTGTCTCTTCTCCTAAAACCAATAAACAAACTTTGCTTTCACCTGTAGTGAGGTGAACTACGAATGCTTTGATTCCATCCTAGTCAGGATACGTAGGCATGAGATGCAATGTCTTGGCGAGCAAACTTAGGAGTAGCACCTTAGGTCTTCCTTTTCCTTTTCACCCTTAGCAGATACAAATAACACAATAAAACAAGAGGTTCTTGTAGAGTACTATAGATACTTAGGATGCTAGCATCTTCCCTTGGTATAACCAACCCCCAAACCATATATTCTCTTTTACTTTGTTTTTGCATTGCATATTTATGGGTTTATTCATTCTTTTTCCCATCCCTTAGATAAATTAAAGATCGGTGGTGAATTATGATTTATGAAGCCTAGTTAACTCAATATCTATAGTCTTCGATTCTCACTACGACAAAAAATGGAGACTTCACTAGGGAATTCTTAATTTTCCCTAAGAGGGTTACACCTAACTTGTTTTATATGTCTTATTTGTTGTATATTTGTATATATGTATATTTGTATATATTTGTCTGTTTGGGTTTTTTTGTATGCAGGGTGGTTACATATTATGGTGAGATAAGTCCTAACCCGGACTTGAGTGCACCTATGATAGGAAGGTGGTATACTCAAGGAGGCTTATAGGGATTTGATTCCCGACCAAGCTAACTTGAGAAATCACCACTCATTTGAGGCCCCTTTTGGAGTAGTATTTGTTGAACGATTATTCGTGAACACATTACTATTTTTGACCTAGGAGCCTATTACATTGAGGACCTTTAGTTACCTTTAACCCTACCTTGGCCTTCTTAGGATGTACTGTGTTGACTATGAGGGAGTATTCCCAAAATAGTTGATACGCGATACTACACTCGAAAGAGGTTCTCTTGAGAATATTGTTAATTACCGAGTAATTGGGAAATTGATAATATCCGAAACATGGATTGATGACTTTGGGAACTTTGTAGGACCCATTTACAGGTACAAATGAACCCATAGTTCACACTAAATGAACCCATTTGTTTGCATGTATATATGTGAATATGTGAATATGTGAATATGTGTGTACTTGTGTTTGTGCATACATTCACCATTCTTTCATGAGCATCATTTTCAAAAAGTTTCATGGAACTCAGAGCTTTTTGTTTTCAAACATCAAAAGATTATCATGGATTATGAAAGGAGGAAGACTTTGAAGTACACTTTCAAGAATCTTAAGATGGATGATGTAACGCCCCGATTCTGAATTCCCATTTTTAATGAGTCCTTATTTGATTTATTTAAGTGATTATTTTATTTATGTGGAATTGTGTGATAATATGTTATGTTTACATATTGAGCTATTTTTGCCGACTTTGAGAGTTTCGGGTAAAATTAGGTTGGGGGTATTTTGGGCATTAATGATAATATTAAATGGATATTTTGTGAGAATTAATTGATAAGTGTGTGGAAAGAATTTGGGAGGAAAGAAATAGAATATGTGATATAGAGAGAAAAGAGAAAGATATAAACATTAAGAAGAAAAACAAGAGAAGGAAAAGAGGAGGAGAGAAAAGAAGAGAAAGTGGAGCAAAACCTAGAATCATCAAGAATCAACCTTAGCTTGCGATTAATCAGGTAACGGTGAGAAGTTTTATCATCTTCATAATGTGTATGATCATGTATGTGCTAGATTAGATTTGTTGGATTGTTTCTATGTTTCCATTTCTAGGTCGGAAGTTGATTTAATCGGTAGAAACTGAGTTTTATCGGTTAGAATTTGGAATAGACGGTGTAATATAGTCGGGTGATGAGTGGGTTGTACTACTGAAACTGATTTGGATTAAATCGGCCGGTTTTGTGAGGTTTGGGCTTTTGGACAACCATGGGAGTTCTGAGTTCGCAGGTTCGCCAGGCGAATGGCAGTGAAGCTTCGCCAGGCGAAGCCCAGCGAGCAGCAGCGAACCAAGTCAGTAGCATCCACCCTGTCTTCGCTGGCAAGTTCACCAGGCGAATGAGAGTGGCAAAGGTTCACCAAGCGAGTGTGCTAGCGAGTAATTCCAGAATAAATCCCAGTGGTCTTCGCTAGCAAGTTCTCCAGACGAACGGAGTAGCGAAGGTTTGCCAGAGGCTTTGCGCGGCGAAGGTTAGCGAATGCAGCAGCATATTTTCTTTTCTTGTGTTTTCCATTCGTGGATCGGTTGTGTGGTTTGGTTGCGATCATTCCTTGTTTGAGATGGCTGACTATACGTTGTTATATGTGTTGTGGGGAGCCGTATGATGTGAATCCTAGTTTGTGAATTGTGAAATGTGGCCGTTTGGCAATTTTGTGCA